AGCTTAAGATATTATCTTGGAATGTTAGGGGGCTGGGGTCGGGGAGAAGGAGGCTGGTAGTTCGTGACTCTCTGAAAAGTTCAGGTTCAAAAGTGGTATTTATTCAAGAAACTAAATTGGAATCTGTGGAGGTCGGAGTGGTTAGGAGTATCTGGGGGGAGGGGGAGGTTAGGTGGAGGTTGAAGTTGGCATAGTGTAGGGGGGTTACTGAGTATGTGGGACCCGACTGTTTGCAGCTTGATCTCTCATTAGATTGGACTTTTTTCAATTTCTCGTCTTGAAACTTGTAGATGGCAATGTGTGTCAGATTACTAATGTGTATGGTCCTAATGACCGAAGTCGGAGGGAGGAGTTTTGGGAGGAGTTGGCAGTGGCCAGGGGAAGTCTGGATTGCCCGTGGGTTATTGGTGGGGACTTTAATGCCACTCTTTCTGGGGAGGAGAGAAGCTCGGGGGGAAGAAGATCAAGGGAAGTGGTGCAATTTGCTGATTTTATTAATAGATTTGAGCTTCAAGATTTACCCCTTCATGGCAATAGGTATACTTGGACCAACAATCAAGACCTTCCTACCCTAGTGAGGCTGGGTAGGTTTCTAGTTACTTCTAACTAGGAGGATATTTTTCCGGTGTTTAACCAGATTTCCCTTCCAAAGCCAGTGTCAGACCATATTCCCATTCAACTGGTTTGTGGTGTTAAAGAGAGAACAAAAGTTCCATTCAAATTAGAGAATGCTTGGTTTGAGGATGACTCTCTAGTTCCGTTGTTGAAGTCTATTTGGGAGGATATGCAGGTGAGAGGTACCAGTTCATTCATTTTAGCAAAGAAATTGGGAGCCATTAAAGCAAAGCTAAAGATTTGGAAAGTGGAGAAAAGTTTGAATCTAGATACTGAGAAGAAGGCTCTACCGAGTACCATAAAGGAGATTGACACAACTGAAGAATTAGGTCCTATTACTGAGGAGTTCAGATTAAAAAGATTTCAGGCTAAGTTGAAGTTTGACAAATTTGCAGTGGCAAAAGAAATTAAATGGAGACAAAGAGCCAAAGTGGCGTGGCTGAAAGAGGGGGATGGGAATACTCGTTATTTTCACAAAATGGCAAATGCCAAAGCTAGAGCTTCTGTAATTACCAGGCTGGAGGGAGAGGGCAGGGTAGGTATCACTGAGTCTGATATGAAGCTAGTGGCAACTAGCTTTTACAAGAAGTTGTATAAGGAATCTTGGGCATTCAGACCTTTTTCAAGATCTCTTTCTTTTAACCAGCTGAGTGATGAGCAGTCTTCTTTCATTGAGAGACCTTTTTCTGAGGAGGAAATTAAAGAAGCTATCAAGTTGTTGGCTGATGAAAAGTCTCCAGGGCCTGATGGTCTTACAAATCTCTTTTACATTAAATGCTGGGACGTGGTGAGACAGGATATATTGAATGTTTTCCAGGACTTTTTTGAGAGGGGTTCATTGTAGAGAAGTCTGAACACTACCTTTATAACCCTCATTCCAAAGACTGAAGGTGCTGTGAATATTAAGGATTTTAGGCCAATTAGTCTGTTGCATAGCTTCTACGAAATCTTATCTAAAGTCCTTGCAGAAAGATTGAAATCAGTTCTTGTTTGGGTTATCTCAAATAACCAAAGTGCTTTTATTCCGGGTAGACAAATGCTAGATTCAGTTCTTATTGCCAATGAGCTCATTCATTCCAGGAAAAAAGAAGACTCTCCGGGTTTGATTTGTAAACTTGATATTGAGAAGGCCTACGATCATGTTAACTGGAGATGTGTAGACCTTGTGCTTCTTTAGATGAATTTTGGGCAGAAATGGAGGAATTGGATGAAAGTATGTATTACTTCCCCAAAGTTCTTAGTCTTGGTAAACGGACAGTCTGCAGGTTCTTTTGATAGTTCCAGGGGTCTTAGGCAGGGAGACCCTCTATCTCCTCTGTTATTTCTTTGTGTAATGGAGATTCTCACTCTTTTTTGCAAGAAGGCTGCTGAGTCAGGGGATTGGGAAGCTTTTTCAATGGTGCCAGGGGGAGAGAAGGTGAACATTCTTCAATTTGTAGATGATATAGTATGTTTTGTGGATGCTTCCCCCTCTCAGGTGGAGCTAATTCTTGGGATTCTCTCTCGGTTTGAAGTGATTACAGGCTTGAAAGTTAAATTGGAATAAGAGCCAAATTATCCCAGTTGGACTTGTTTCCAATTTAGCTGAGTGTGTTGGTATTCTGGCTTGTCAGATTGAATCTCTCCCGGTCAAATATTTGGGACTCCTGCTTGGGGTGAATGGTGGTTCCTCTGCTATTTGGGGCCCAGTTATTGAGAGATTGGAAAGGAAGCTGGCTTCTTGGAAGGCCAAATACCTTTCTTTTGGGGGGAGGGTGACTCTAATTAAGAGTACTCTCTCCAATTTGCCTACCTACTTCCTATCTCTTTTCTCTATTCCTAAGAAGGTGGCAAATCAGATTGAAAAGCTTCAACGGAATTTCCTTTGGAGAGGCTGGGAGGAGAAAAAGGTGCACTTGGTGAGTTGGGAATAAGTCTGTCTTCCCAAATCTGAAGGGGGGTTAGGTATAAGGAAACTGAAATATTTTAACTCTGCTCTCCTATGTAAATGGATTTGGAGATTTTCTGTGGAATCTGATGCTTGGTGGAGATCTCTCATAACTAGCAAATATGGTGTGAGCTGGGGAAATTGGAGATCTAGGGACCCCCCTCCTAACTGGGGTAACTCTCTGTGGAAGGGGATAATGAAGCATTTTCCAGAGTTGGCCAGGGGGATCTCAGTCAGGGCTGGTAATGGTAATAGGATCAAATTCTGGAAGGACCCTTGGTGCTCAGATGTTCCTCTTGCTGAATTCTTCCCCCTCATCTTCCACTGTGCTTCAGACCAAGAGGCCTCAGTTGCTGATGCTATAGTATATCTGGTGATTCTGTTCTTTGGATTCCTGCTTTCCGTAGAAATCTCTTTGATTGGGAGGTGGATGAGGCAGTGAATATTTTGACCTGTCTACAGCATCAAGAGATGGACTTTAGTACAGAGGATAAATGGCATTGGAAGTGGAATCCTGACGGGATATTCTCTGTTAAATCTTTGGCGGCTAGGATTGGTAGGAGGGGTGTTCCTGATATCCCAGTTCAGCAAGTGTGGAATCCTATCAGTCCGACTAAAGCCAGTTTCCTTGTTTGGACTATGGCTCTTAACAAATGCCTTTCCAAGGAGAACCTYGTAAGCAGKGGAATTCRGATTTYGGACCAGTCTTGCAGCTTATGTGGGTGCAGTGCTGAATCTACTGATCATCTGTGTTTACACTGTCTGTTCTTGGCTCAGTTGTGGAACCACCTCCTCAAGTCCTTGAAGGTTTGTTGGGTGATGCTGAGGTCAGTAAAAGAGCTGTTATGCTGCTGGCATATTGTGGGCTGGAGCAAGAAAAAGAAGACTTTATGGAAAATGATTCCTAGTGCTGTAATGTGGTGTATCTGGACCGAGAGGAATAGAAGGGTGTTCAGCAACATGTTTCTAAGTCTGGAGGACCTAACCCAGAAGTTAGTGGGCAAATTGATTTCTTGGTTGTCTGTGACGGCAGATTTTAGAAACTGTAGTGTATCAGATGTATTTTTTTCCTTGTCTTGATGGCTTGTGTAATCGCTGTTTAGATCAGTCAGCCTGTTTTGGATTGATCTCAGCCTCCAGTGTGTATTTCATTCTCAATAAATATTACTTTACCTTTTCCAAAAAAAAAAAAAATTCATGATGTTAAAATTTAGCAAAATATGCACTAGAAAGAATAAACCCAATTTCTTTTGCACCTCAATCTCTTTTTTCAACTACCTTGCCAATATTGACATCCTTATCTATCTCTACACTGTATATGGATCCCTCATCTTCACCAGGTTCTTCCTCCAAATCTCTGTTGCCGAACTTTCTGAATTCTCATCACTATCTATATTCAGTTCAATCAAGTTCTCTACAACAGGTTTTGTTCCACAATTCAACTTAGCAGAAATTTCTTCCCCAATCTATTCTTGTGAGATAATCTCAGACTATATAACATGGCTGGTGTTGCTAATGTCACCATTCACTTGAGCATTCTTTAAATTGTTATTTATAACCAAACACCCTTCACTACCACTGCCAGTTGCAGTTTCTGAAGATTCAGAAAGACATTTTGTGTTATCTTTATCCAACCACACTTGATTACTTTAACAGATTGGAGATTACCTTTTATTACCTTGCTCTTATAAACCCTTTAAATTTCTTGCATGGACCATCCCCCTAAGGCCACCTTTTAGATGAGAAATTTTTTTTGTAATATTTACCAAACTCTGATTCTTCAAACTCTTTTCTCTTCTCCAGGTTCTATTGTTCTTCACTTTCTCAAGTAGATGCACATGGAAAAAAATCCAGTATTCTAGAAGTACCAGGTTCTGAAACCTCTTGAATGACATTTCTCCCTTGACTTAAGTTCTGCATGGAAACAATTTCTTTTCTCTACTTCTTATTGCTTTCATGCTATAGTTTACACTGAGCAAACAAAGGTGTCAGTGTGCTTAGCCATTGGTTGACAAGTGATAGCATGGTGGGCCTTCTTGTTGCGTTTATCAGTGATTTAATTTTGATTTTAAAAGAAGGTTTGGGATAATGTGATCCTTTTTCCATTGGCCAAGGATGTGAAAATGTTGCTTCACTTTTCTGCTTACCGTTTCATTTGGAATCTATCTATCATGTGTGTCTTTGGTTAGGTTGCTCCCTTTTCTCTATTCAATTATGTCTATATCATTTTTTTTCTTCTGTTTTTTTGTAGATTGTTTTTACTTTTCATATATTCAAATATGAACAACTGCTTCCACACACATCTACTGCTCAATAAAATCACATCAATAGCTTTGGATGTCACATGCTAATGGAGAAAGCACACAAAGAAAATAGAAATTTTAATTTCTGTGCTTTTTTTTGCTTTTTATCTTTTAATTTGGTTTTGTTTTGCATAACCATATTTTTTCTCTTTTAGCTGCTGATGTCATCTTATGGAAACGACGGCATGTTTCATTTGGTGTCATCATTGTTTCTACGGTTGCATGGCTCCTATTTGAGCAATCAGGATTGTCATTTTTGTCAATTTGTTCAGACATCTTCCTGATCTTAATTGTAATCCAGTTTCTTCGTGCAAACTTTGCTGTTCTAAGAAACAAGTAAGGCAGTTTTACTCCACATCCTGGTTTTTTCTTATTGTTTCACCCCAAAGAATATATTCCTTTCTCTCTTTTCTTTTGGACTTAGAGTTCTCTCTCTCTCTTTCTCTGTCTCTGTCTCTCTTGAGAAGACAACTTCAACCATTACCAGAGCTGGTCTTGTCAGAGGAAATGGTCAACAATGCTGCTGCTTCATTCCGTGTTAAAATTAATAATGTGTTGCTCATGGCACATGATATCACTCTCGGGAAAGACTTCAGACTTTTTTTTAAGGTAATGATGATCAACCATTTAGAGTGGAGGAATATCGATGTATTGGTAGGCATAAGAATGCTCTACTGACAGAAGATGAGCATACATAGTGTTTTTTTTTTAGGGAAATGGGATTACTATTCTAGGCTTCCCATCTAATAGATGCCAAAAGATGGCCCAATGAAGAGGTGATGATTCATTTAACCTGAAAGATGTCAGGGATAGGGAGTTCTAGGAAGATTTTGACTATACTTATTTTCGAGAAAAATAAATGAACCAGTTTGCTATTGGTTTACCCTTATCCTTGGCACCCTATGCTGCAGAATCCTCAACATGTCTTTTAAAAGGATTTGCCATTGCATTAGGAAAAATACTAAGAAATACCTTTTTATATCTGACAGGTGGTGGTTTGTTTGTGGCTCTTGTCTGTGATCGGTGGCTTCTTCTCATTCTTCACTCTAGTGTATATTGGTAAGCCCATCCATTCTTTGATGCATCAAAAAAAATTTTAGTAAATAATGTATCTTTAACCTTGATAGATTGGTTATTTTCTTGACATATTAGGAGGTGCTCAGGAACTGTAATAGGTCAGTTTTCTTTACTTTTGTGGAAAAGCAACGTCAGAAAAAATGAGAGACCTGTCCACTAATGCCTTCTCTTCCCTCTTTTGAATGGTTTTGGTATCATTGTGAAAAAGATCCCCTTTTTTTTGCCTTTTTTGAAGCTGAGAAATATATAGCTTCCAAAAAACAAAAGCAATATTTTTTTCCTCACAGGATGCTAATGTGGCTTTGAAATTTGTGTAAAACAATCAAGTCACTCAATGCTAACATTTTTATGCAACAAGTGTTCTTTCAGAAAAAAAAACTGGTTATTGAAAACAATAGGACCCATTTTATGAAAAACACAATGCTAAAAACCGACCAAGTATCCATGCAACTTCTTAGTTGCTAATGCTGTCATAAACGTTGTTCACTGTAGTAGGACTGATAATGGACCAGGACTAGGCTTTGATAGGGATACAAAGGACCAGATGGTCACCTGGGTTCTGCTCCATCCTGGGTCTAGACATCTGGTAAAGCCCGTTCTGCCCCAGGCCCAGGCCAGACTGTGTGTGGCTGTTGAGTTCACCTTCTTTACTTTGTTTCTTCTTTGTAGGCTCAGTTTGTTTGCAGTGCAAATTTCATTTGCACTAATATAAATGGAAGGAAATGCAAATGGACTTGGTGCAAATTCTGGTCTACTTTTGCTTCAGACTTGATTTTGTCTTCTTGTTGCTTGTTTGTGAGAAGTAAAATGATGTGGTCCACTGGTCCCCACTTTATGTGAAAGATAATGCGAGATGAAGGCCATTTATTTAGAGGAGTAAGGTGGGAAGCAAGATGATGTGGTACATGCTATATGAGAAATCAAAGTAGGTGGAGGTGGTGCAAAATTCACATCAATTTTTTAGATGCAAAATTTGCACTGCCAAATAGTGCAAATGAGACAAAAAGTGCAAATTTTGCAATGGGTAGAAGTGCAAATCATAGTCACAAGCAAATGGATGCAAAACTGAACTGGAGCAAAATTTGTATCTGGTTCAGATTCGCATTAGGCTCAGTTTGGAAAGAGTACAAATACAAATATGTAGAATACAAATACATGACAAAGTAATACAAAATACAAGGTTTTGCACTCTACATATTTGTATTTGTAGATATTGTTTTTTACTGAGCCTAAGGCTCAGTTTGGAAAGAGTGCAAATACAAGGTTTAGAAATACTGTATACAGGGTTTTGCGCTGAACATATTTGTATTTGCACTCTTCCCAAACTGAGCCTTATGTTCAAAGTTTGTCAGTAATAATGCCCACAACTTGGTGATAGTGCATTTGACTATAAACGGAAGGTCACCAACTGCTAGTTCAAACCATGCCAAGCATTTAAATTTGATTATAAAAATGAAAATGTGCTATTTAGTTATGTATAATGTATATGTAAAATATACAACTTATATGATATATGTAACCTATTGAAAAAAAATGTGATGTATGTATAATAAGGGAAACAAGTGAGGGAAAAGTTAAATAAAAGACACATAATACTAGAATTCCTTCACGTATATAATAGCTGAAATATATGATATATATATAGCATATGGGGCATTTGAGGATGGATTGGGCCTATTGGGCCTTGAGGTTTAATGTCCAGGCCCAGTCTGTACTATGTCTGGGCCTAGTGCAAGCTTAGGCTAGAGTGAAAGTTCACAGCCATATGGGCAGGGCCTTCTGGGTCAGATTGGTTTTGACTTTGATCATTCCTAGAAATGAGGCAAGGGGTTAGGATCGGAGTCCATGGTCTAGTTAGCTTGGGTGGATGGAAGAAAGGGAAAGAAACTGAACTAGCAGAAATTTTCTGTAATACTAAATATTTCCTAGATGAGATAGTTTGCAATGACTGGTTTTGAAAAAACAAACTGCATTCTCAAGAAATTGTTTGCATGCATGTGCCTCTGCACTTCCTCATGATGTAGATGTGACTTTCATTTGAGGAGATTTCAAGCAATTGTAATTTGTGAGATGCCGACATGCAGATGCACCACTAATGTGCATTAATGTTGCATGAGGCAGCATTTGGTTTGCAATGCCTTATGCCTTGATCACTTTGCAGTTGCTAAAATCCACAGCTTGAACAGTGAAAAATTATCCACATCAATCGTGGATGAAACACTTTACATCCACAGAAAAACACTTCATGTTCTACTAAGAACTTTGAGCTTATGTACAATTGTGCTATTTTTGAATGACAGGAACTATCATTTCAATCACTGTGCCTGTCTTATACAACAGATATGAAGATCATGTGGATAAATATGCTGGAGTGGTCCACCAAAAGTTTTCAAAGCATTATAGAGTAGTGGATGAAAATATTGTTAGCAGATTCCCACGGAATTTAACGAAGGAGAAAGATACGTAAATCCCCACATAAGGCATGGGTAAGTTCTTTGGTTATAGTACATCCTCCAAGATTTACCGTCTGTATTAAAAAAAAAATCTTATGCATGAAAATTTCTATAAACAATCCATTACATGAAATAATCAAGATTTGTCACTTTAAGGTAAAATCACATGTTCTGTTGTAGTATGTTAAAACATCTTGTACAGATCACTAGATTGTCATGACACCTTGCGCTTCACCATATAATAATCATTTTCTGCTGCTAGTACTAGGGATACGAGGATGACAATAGTATCACTAGGTTGTCTATTGTCATTAGAGGTGCTTCTTTACGTGATGGCTCTTCAATTCTAGTAATATGTATACCATTTTGAAAAGGAAATAATTCATCCCTCGTTAACTTCTTTATAACTCGTTAGTTCAGGAAGTACATATTATTTGGAGTACCCTTAGGCTGGCAAAGAGGAAGAGCTAAGAGTTCAACTTCCACGAGGTCACATGGTTATAGATAACTATATTTTCTTTTTTAAAAGACCACAATTCTCATGATCTGAAATTGTTTAGGCCACAATTCCTATCACAATGGAGAACAGCTCCTTTACTTCTATTAAATTCTCTTCCTCATCAGGATGTTTCTGCTGCTGCATTTCATGGCAAGAAGTCTTTAGGAATGTTGCATTCTAACTAAAATTCCAGGCTTTGGTTGTTTTCGATCGTTTTAGTTTTATTGAAGATTCTTTTTGTTCACTTGGTTTCTACAGCTGATGCAGAGTTGTTTTGGTGCGAGAATGGAGATTGTATGAGCCATTGAGCCTATTAGGCTTGCCTGAAGTTTCGTTTCTTTCTTAGCCCACCTGTGGGATTATGAACTTTCCTGCTACTTGCCCGAGGTTTGAAATATCAAATATGATACATTCGATGCGCGGTGTGACGTATCGGCTTCCTATGTGATTGCCATGTGGCATAGGTGGAATGGTCAAAATTTAGTGCCACTTGCCACTCCACCTGAATCCAATGTATCGGTCAAATATGTATTACGAAATATGTTAAAATTATCAAATATGTATTGTGATAGATTGGGTAAATGAGGATTTAACAAATCCTATTATATAGATCGATACAATGTATGTATTGATCCATATTGTATTGATCTTACACCTGTGAATTCCTCATGAACTGTTTCTCATTTTAGTGGAAGACCAACATTTCCAATGTTACCCAAAATTAATTAGCCAGAAAACACGTTTGTCGGCAGGAGATCCGGACTCCCCAAATATGTGGGGTTTTTATTTTGCTAGATCCAAATGTATGGGGTTGGCTGAATAAATTATATTCCACCATTCTGTTTCATTGAGGCCCAGTTTTGCTTTTCAGTAAGTTATTTATTCGGGTAAATGTATTTAATTGGGTAAGTGTTTTTCAGGAAAAACTTACCTGGTGCATTTATCCATGTTCTTTTATTTACCATGTAAATAAGATAATGGTTATTTTAGCAATTTTCCTCCAGGTAAGTGGCATTAAAAGAGGCAATTTTTTGTCACATTCAAGTGTTGGTAGTTTTCCCTCGGATAAGTGATATCCTAGAAAATAAGTTCTCTCCGGTTTTTACATAAATCTGAAAAATTAATATGGATTTCTTGATCAATGGAAATCAAATTCTTATAACCAACTTTCCCCTCAAAATCCGAAAAAAGAAACGCTCCCTCAGTGCTAAATACATTTGTTCCTCAAGTGGGTAAAGCTCGATACATTTGATATGCATCTAATAAGAGGAATTAAGGAAATGTCCATATGTTAAAGTTTAGAGCCCGCGTCTCTGCCCCTCAAAAAATGGAAAAAAGAGCCCATACAACCATGACGACTAGCTGCAGTATGGCGTACTAGTGAGGCTTAACACTTTTGAAGTTTTGAGCCCGGTTGGGAGGGCTTTTGTGTATGGAGTGTGTTGTGTTTGGTGGTTGAGCATTGGTGTACCTGGAGAAATTATTCAGAAAAGCTTTACATTTGAGGAGTGATTGGGAGGGCTTAACACTTCACGGGCAGGATGCGTTTTATAGGGGGCTGATGCCATGTTTATTCTAAGAATGGATAAATTAGTAATTACATGTTAATTTATTTTTACTAAATACCAAAGCATGGGTGTGAATAATGAACTGCCCAGAATACAGCTGAAGTTAACCCGGGGCCTGCAATTCAGATTTCTTAGATGGATTACAATTCTAGGATGCGATTTACCGAATACAGCTGACGTTTCCGTATGAGGGGCCCAGGTCAGAATGCCAGATGCCACTTTTCAAAAGCCCTCAATCGCCTGTTTGTAAGGAGCGGCTTTCACTCTCCAACGCTCTTGTCCCACTGTTCCAACGGAATTGGAAGAAAAAAAAAAAGAAGGCAGAGGCTTTTTCCAGGAGGATGATCACGCCCTCTGTTCTTATACATACTCTCAGATCTTAGATTGATTGCTTGAATTTCACATCCGGTTTTTTCTCATATAGCTTTTGTTTGCTCTGTATCTTTTGTTTCTTTGTTTCTTGATCTTCGCCCAACGACGGTGGAGGCAACCGTACTGTAATGGATCTCAGATAACTCTTCATAGGTGTGGAATCTCCTGGGACGCAAATGAAGATCGTCTCAAGGAATAGCTGTCTTGGGGTTGGAGAAGTTTGCAGTAAGGACTCTCTCTCTCTCTCTTAAGAAGGGGTTTTGTTTGGACTTTGGAGAGTAGCAAAACCAATCTAGGCCAAGGCGTTGGAATTTTAGACTGTTTCGCATGCAATTTTGAGGATTCCCCTCAATATCCATGAAGAAGATAAGATTATGGGAAATTGTCTATAATTCACGACTTATTTTCAACATTTCTCTTAAATTCACCATAACTTTTCAAAATGTTTAAAACTCACCATGTCAATAAGTTTTCATTTTCCAAAATTCACCTTCAGTTAGTGCACCGTTAATGCTTTTTAACAGAGGCGTCCATGGCAGCATAAATAACAATTTTTATGATCAAATTACCCTTGAATGGTGAGTTTGAGGAAAAATAGTCATTTTCAGTTTTCAATTTAACTTCCAATGTTTTTTATAATTTCTATTTTTTTTACATTTTCTATTTTCTACAATCTATAAATTTCCTGTATTTTTGTTATTTATTTACAATTTCTATGTTTTTCTATAATTTTTGGTGTTTTTTACAATTTTTATTTTCTAATTTCTATAGTTTCTTTAATTTGAAAACAAATTTTTATTTTGTTTTCAATTTCTATAATTTTTTTATATTTTTTGTAAATTCTATGTTTTTATGCATTTTTTATTTGAAAATATTTTTTTTTGAATTTTTTCCTTTTTTCATGTCCAAATATTAAAATGATAATATATTAACACCCGTTAATTTATTTTGTATATATTTTATATTTTTTTATAAATGTTAAAATAGTAATATATTAACACCCATTAGTCTGTTTAACATCAAGTTAGTGACATGGCGAGTTTTAGACATTTTGAGAAGTTGTGGTGAGTTTAAGAAAAATACTAAAAGCTCATGATGAGTTTTAGACAAATTCCTTAAGATTATTTGAACCCATCATTAATCTTGCAAATACTCCATGAAATCTGGTTATCATCTCGTCTGTTGTCTTGAGGTGGAGAAAGGAACTAGGGCAATCTCCTCCACCTTAGCATGTTGTGTTTAACCCTCCGGCTCCAACAATTTGGACCAGCACATGGAAGATAAAGGGGGTCTTCTACTCATGTGGCAATTGTTTTTGATTTTTAGAAACGTTGTCAAACACCTCCTTGAATACAATAATTCTTTTTGAAGCAAGAAACAGTAACAGAACATCTTTATCATTTAACGTCGATACTTGAATTGATTTATATAACTATGCCAAAATTTTAGCCCATTTATTTTTATCTCTCTCCACTTCATTTATGACTTATCTCTCCTCCTCTTCTACTTGCAAACATCCTGTTATGTGTGAAGGAGATAGAAAAATAAATAATAAATTTCTAGGATTGTCCTCTTGACGTGAGGCCAAGTCAAGATTGACCTTATATAGTCCTTGCTCCAATAAAATTGTATGAGACAGAAGGGAGGTCGTTAATAGCTTTTCTACCGACTCAGAGACCAATGGTTTTGATCCACGTCATTCATAAGGCTCAGTTTGGAAGTATGACCTTATTTGCATTTGTACTCCTTCCAATTCCAAACTGAGCCTAAAATGCATAATAACCACTCAATCTCTCACTTGCACTATTTGTGACTGATATGATACAAAATGATTGGTTCCATAACCAGTAAGACAGTTACAAGTGCAGCTAAGCTAATTGTCCCATCTTGGATAAAAATAGGAAAAGCAAGACGGTATTTGCATTGTATTTGTACCGGGTCTCGACTCATCTGCTTTTAGCCTCACGGCCAAACCACACTATTAATGAGTTCTATTTATTTTCTTCTTCATTATTTGTATATACCACATTACTAGTTGGGATTAGACCTGTTCATGGGCTGGGCTGAGTCAGTCTTGGGCTGGATTTTGCGTCTTTATCAATATAAAATGTATAAGCCCAAGCCCAAACCTAAGCCCAACCCAACCATCGGGCCTAGACCTTGTGCCCGAGCCCAGTCTTTATATAAAGCTTGAAGTCCGACTTATTTTCAATGTACTTTTATAAACTAATATTATAATAATTTAATAAATTAATAAACTAATTTATACTTTCTAATAGTAACTTAATATTTATTAATAATTTAAGAAACAAATATATATTATATATAACATAAATGCATTTTTATTATATGTAATAGTATTGGGCTAGGCTCGGGCCCGAGTTAAGACTTATTTGAGAAAACCCGAGCCCGGCCCAAAAAATGACTGGGCCTGGTATTTAAAGCCCAAACCTGAGAACCTGAAGTTTTGTCCAAACCTAAAAAATAATGGAGTGGGCGCTGTCAGGCTACTCGACCCATAATTGAGACAAAAACCATGTTATTGATTGGTGCCCCACAATTATCAAATTTTAAAAATTAAAATGAAGAAAATATTCCTCTTCATTTTTCTATTCAGTCCAATTAGTTGTCTACCCTACTAGTACTAGTAAATTTGTAGAGATCCACTTGTTTTTAGCAATGTTGGTAAGAGCATTTATCACAACAAAAACAAAGTCTGTCGTGAAATTGGGACTTGTGTATTAAATAAGTGGGCTCCATATTGATAGTACATGGGGCAGGTTTTGGGTGTAGTTGAAAATAATGGATTGTTCAAGCATTAATCATAAGGTTTTGAGAGCTCCTTCTGTTTCTTGTAAAGTTAAATCACAAAAAGCGCTTTTGTCTTTAATTTTATGAAATCTTTCTTTGTTTGCAACTTAGTTGAATGGTTTTTGTCACATGGCAAGAGGATGCATCTTTACTTCCAAAGAGATCAAGCATTCAAACAAATACAACCGTCAACTTTGCAAAATCAATATGAATTTTCTCATGTACTATTTAACTATTTATTTTTATTTTAGAGAAACAAATCCATACGTCGTCTCATCAGATAGAGATAGGTACCGCATAATAGCTAGTGTATACTTGCACGTTAATTAACTTGAAATCCGGCCGATTGACCCGATTTTATTTTGGGCCCGGCGGGTTGAGTGCCGGGTTGGGTTAGATCAGGGTTAAAGCTTAGGCAAGCATTGACCCAGACCCAACCCGAGTTCATAGGTCCTACATTGTTACATAACTCTCAGCTCAGTAGTCAGATTAATACCCTAAAACGGTAACATGATGGTGGTTCAATTGGTAAATTAACTGGTTTATTTTATTATAGATAAAAAATTGTATACATGATTGATGTCCTGTTCCTTTCTTGTTGGAATTCCACACGTTTTTACACCATGAACACGATGACTTGATTACAGAAGTAAATACAATTTACATTGAGACCGGATCTGCTCTTCACTCAAGGCGCCTCACACCAATCTTATACGCACATCTTATTATGCATTGGAGATATCTCTCGTACTTATAAATTATTATTTATAGGAGATGTTCGCAGATCCCATTCTAATTACATCATCATCAGTTGTTGATTTGGTGGCACTGGACAAACTGAAACGGGAGTCAGTGCAAGATCTGTTTGAACAACCTCTTGCAATTTTGCATTGTTTATATCCCTCTGTGAAATAAAGCAAATAACTATATGGGAGAATGCCTATTCAACCCACCTCAGAAATTGTTAATTTCACAGCACAAGTAAAATAGCTTCTGACCGTGGATTGATGCCAAATCCCCGAACAGGATGTGGTTATAGGGGGAGCTGTAATTTCAGAATTGTACATAGACTGCAGTGTAATGTACTTCTCTGTAATTATACGAGTATTGTACTGACTGAAGCCGATCTTGAACAAACTAGCTGGAATCTCACTTACTTAATCAAGAATTAATATATATATATATATATATATATTTAAATTTTCTTTTCTTTATATATTTATATAATTAATTTGAAAGGAAAGAGAGCATGGTAACATGCCCCAACATACAGTACAAGACAAGAAATTAAAATGGAAAAGTACATTATTTTCACACCCTCCCACTCGATTTTCAATCAACTGGGAACTATAATTTAATTCCTATATATACTTCTTTTCTCGCGCTTTTTCTATTTTGCTGGTACTCATCGCTCAGACTAAGACTCTCAGACTCTCTCTACCATTTTTCTATATATGAATGATAAAATAAATAAAAAGGCTTGGCCATTGCGGGTGGCTAATTAGCAACCTCAGCATCGAAAGGCCACGTCTTCCCAGAGAGCTTCTTCCCTTCCCCTACAACTACACTGATGTATGCCAACTAATCGAAGAAATTAAAGAAAGAGAAAGAAATGTAGATATACAGAGTGATAATTAAGCAGATTAGATTGGAGGTGGTAATGGTAGAGGAGGCATAGAGGCATAGACTGAGGCCAGGGAGCTAGAATTGGGCGCCCTCGAAGGTTTGGCCGAATTGCCAGCCGGCGGGGGCAACATTGTAGCTAGTGATGGTCCTTCCATCGCTGGTGGTGACTTGGAAGGATAGGGTCTGGCCATTGAGGTAAGAGTTACTCTGCCAATTTTGGCCCCAGTTCCTTGACATTGCCTGCCATCCTGTTCTCGATCCCTTGATCGACACTGCGTGAACATCCCCTGCACCTGCCACGTTGGTGATCAACACCAAGTTGAAATAAGAGTGACCATTGATGGTGAATCTTATTCCTCCTTTCTTCACACAAGGAACCCTGCCAAGCCCAACATCCACCATTAATATGGGTGCAGCTAGAGGATAGAAACAGGGGACGTGGTAATTTCAATCATTCATTCTAAATTGTAAATTCTAACCTTCTGAAGGCCACAGGGACGATACCAGCTCTGTACTGCGCAATTTGCAAGAAAGCAGGCTCGGCCATGTCGAAGTGCTGGAGAGGAGGGTTGCACCATCCCCCGTTGTCATTAGCCAATGCAAAGTTGGGTGGGCAAAAGTTGGTCGCCGTGACGGTGATTGTTCCAGGGAGGCACCATTTGGGGTCGTCGTTGCATTTCATCTCGTAACACGCCCCACAACTCAACCCATTGTTGAACAGCGCTGTGCTCAGAGCTGCAGTGTTTGTTCCATATCCCTGGCTGTACAAGTTACCATACCCGCATGCTCCCCCTGCAAACTCAGAACATCTCTTCCCATCAGAAACCCAATAAACACCAGAAACAGAGACAGAGACAGAAATTACGAAAGCTTCAACTTACCCATTGTGCCAGATGCATCACCACCGCCGTAGAAGGTGGCGTGACCGCCCTCCCAGCCACCGTAGTCCCCGAAGGTGCCACGCAAGCATAAGCTAAGGAGAGAGAAGAGGAAAAGAGGAAGGGCAGGAAACAAATGAGTGGCCATTTGCAAGGAGGTCCCAACTATAGCCTATAAGGACTCCCTGAGAGAAAAGCAGAGAGGATCTCAACAGGGGAAGAGAGGGGAGGATTGGATTTGGAATTGGATTTGGAGGAGGTTGTTTTTTCTTTTGATCTTGTTTGGGTTTGGAACTTTGGGTGGGTAGTAATACAAGAAGGCACCCGGGGGTGTCTGTATTTATATAAGAAGCCTACACATTGGAGTGCAGACTAAGATGGTGAGACATGAATGTGGGCCGTGTGGGGGTTCATTGGAAGTTTGTTTGGAAGAAACTAAGAGACAAAGCTAGCGGTTCTCAGGTTTGGACCATCCAAATTTCAAATCCAAAGCCACGACGAAATGGATTTGAATTTGAAGTAAATGCATAAATCAAGCGCACATGCAAATGCTCCAGTTTGGTTACCATTTACCAACCGCTAAGCCGCCTGGGCCCGACACGCACATGGCTTCCCTCAACGGTTTCGTTTCGTTTCCATCTCAATTTTGTCTTTCCCTTCTTTTTTTTTTTTTTTTTTTGCATTTATGAGACTATGACCCAATTTACCAAAATAAATTTTAAAATAAAAAAATGAGACTGGTTTTTTTGGTTTTTGTTGAACACCGTAATTCAGATTATTATGACGTGACAAATTTATCCTTGAATATCTTATATCTCAAATTTAAAAAGAGAGCTTTTTAGCCTTAGGCGTTCTCAGATTATGACGTGTCAAATTCAAATGAAAACCCATGATGTTTTGATTTAGTTATTTTCATATAAAACACATATTTTTGGGTTTTAAATTGGAAAATGTGAATTTGAAGAAATATATACTAAATTAAAACAAACATTAATAAAAATAGATTTTGTTTCTTCATATATAAATATTAACAGTCAGTACTCTATAATTAAAACAGACGAGAATAAAAAATAGGAAACATGGCGAATAGATGCAAAAGCCCTTGTTTTAGACATAGTGATGTAATATTTTAATTTCTATTGAAACCAGAAACCAGAAACCCCTTTTCAATTTCCATGAAATTAACCCAAAATCCTGCTGATTATTGGGGGCCGGGTATTAATGTGAACGTGATACGGCGCAATTGCGCAGGCGAAGCTGTATTGGGTTTGGATGGGATGAGTGAGTGAGTGCATGGATCGACGGAGCATTTAAGAGGTGTGTTCCAAGGGCATGTGATTGGTATCCTACGGAGCTGACAGTGATGATGACGTGTCAATGTTTAGATGGATGGTTGGATCATGTTATGCAGTGGTTTAATTTTAGTTTGCTGGTGAGTGGTGACGTAGGTTGTTGGGTACTTGGTTTGACCAAATAGCTCGCATTAATTGCGACCTTACCCAATAAAATGCCGACACTTGTACAACCTAAAAACATGCGGTTCACATGGTGCGTGCTTTGTATCTGAAAGTTGAAACTAACGGCTGACGTGTCCATATTCTATTGGTAATTGCAGCTGATGTGCACTCTCTAGTCTCTAACTACTGTGTCTGTTAGATGAGGGTGATTATGTGGCGAGCTAGGCTGGGTTGAGTCACTGGTTTTGACATTTTGACTCAGGAGAGAGCTAATTAGAGGAGAGAGCTTCTCTTTGTTTTGTCAGATTTACAGAGAAAAAGAATTGGTTAACAACATTTCCATACTTGATACCCGTGTAATAGATGCCTAATCCTCGATCCTCACTCACTACTGAGTACTGACCCCCGTACTCACAATTCAATGATAAGTAGTATTGAAGCATTTAATTTAATTATTGTACGTGATCAATGCATGTTTTAATTGGTTCATGAGATTAAATTAGTTTTAATATGCTGTTAAATAACCCAATTTATTTATTATTTAGATGAAATGAATGACATTCACGCCGAATATGCGAGCTTTAATTAATTAATGCTGCTGCTGGGTTTCTGATTTTAATCAATAAATTAAAATTAAAGATTGATTTATTATTAAAGGGTATGAAATACGTAATTTGCATGGTGCTTATTTAAAAGTTAAAACATTAGCATCAAATGATGGTAAAAGAAAAAGAAAGGTCTTCTCAGGCGAGAAACCAGTTATGTAAATTATTTTTTGATAGATAATTAGTTGGATATTGAAACCCAAACACCAGTTTGCAACTCTTGAAGAAATTAACTTTAACTTTGTTCTTGATTTGCTAAGGTCTCGTTTGTTTCCAATGCAATTTCATTTGTGGAAAAAGAAGAAAAAACAAACGCAGAAAAGGGGCAACCCAACTTCAGACATGAACTAACCTTTGCCTCTCGTCCAGAGGAAGGTCTCAAATCTAAAGTCTGAATTAAACCCAATATTGAATATTAGCAAGCAAATCAGCAAGCTTGTTTCCTTCATGGAAGTGCAAATGAGTTAGAGATAAATTTCACTTTATTCTTTTGTCTGCAGTACATACATCAGAAGTGAAATAGAAACTAAAAAGCAGAATAATTTAAAAAGACAAGACAAAAACAAACCAAATTTTGTACAAATAAGTTGCATTGCAAAACAAACATAATCTAATAATAATTGTTAATTAAGTGGTAATAAAGGTTTAGAATATATTGTAATGAGTTGAATAAAATTTCATAATTAAGCTTTCTTAAAACTAGAAATTAAAGGAAAACTTGTAAGCTAAGTAGTTAAGTTGACAGCGTATGAAACAACGTAACTCAACAAGCATTGGGGATTATTAGTTGGAGATGATTGACAGCGATACGCATACTACAATTCTAAGGTACTAAGTATCATAAAAATGTCGTGTTTTGTATTAAATAAAACAGCCGCATTAGAGATGTTTGTCCAAATTACCAAATAATTACAAAATTAGCAAATAATCAAGCGATTCGCATTATCTGAATGCGTCACGCATAGAATGAGAATCTCAAACACACGTAGATGCTTGTGATTCGCAGGTACCATGAAAATCAACAACAGATATTATGGGTGCTAATTAATTAAGTTGATGTTAATTTAATCAATCAATTTGCGGTACTGGTAGCAGGTTGATGGATCATTTCCTACATTAATTATTAATTATTGTTGTTCTTTATTATTAATTTATCAGTTAAGAAACAAATGAAATAGTTAAGCTTCTTACTCTTTTCCATCTATTAATAAAATTATGAAAATGAGAGGCTTCGGTTAAGGGCCTACCATGTTAGGAGCACATGCAACTTCCGGTCTTTGCGGTATCATATATTCATGCATCATTTTCATGCATTTTGGAGGCATTCAATTGTGGGTACGTAATTGAATGAAACATATATATATATATATATATATCAACTTAATAAAAAAATATGAAAAGTCTATATCTGATACTAGTTTAATCACAAATGAAGATACTAATTAAACCGCAATCTTCTGTTAACTCTGTAATATAGGAATAAATGATGATGATGATAGAACATCCCTCCTACCCCGGCCCTCTCTAGTAATCTCTCCCCCTCAGAATTCTTCCTTTCCAACGTCCACTCTGAAGAGACTAATATAATGTTGGTTGTTGAATGAGTCGATCAATACTGGATTTTCCTTTTCTTTCTTTTTTGTCTTACTTCTTCCTCTCTGTGCCTTTTCTAATTTCTACAGTGCTAGGACATATCATATCAACCGTTACAGCACATAAAAATATTAATTTGTTTATATGATCCAAATGTGAATTGAAAATAAGATTGTGGGTTTGACAAGCGGTGATAGCGCTGCCTTGAACAGAAAGAAAACAAGCTAGGCCAACCCAAATATTAGCAATTCTGCACCTTTGATTGCGGGAGCATGGATGGATGGATGGATGGATGGATATGGGTACATAACAAATTATATTATATGTCTATGTAAGCTGATGATATAATCAAGGGAATGAAGAAAGTTAGGTACAAGGAGAATTGATGATGAAGAACTAATTACCAGCTGGGATTGCTTATCCTACCTTCCTCCATTATTTATATATATATATACATAAAAGAAACTGATTAATTCAACGAGCTGAGGTCGACTACTTCATGGTGAGGCCGACTTATTTGAAATGGCTGAATTAGAATCCATGTGGGTGATGGGTCCTGTGTTTTATGAACAAGGCAGTTTCCTCAAGACATCCCCACTTTTGAACAGACCATTTTTGCAATCACAGTGATAAGAGTAATTAGCCCCTTGTTTTTCTTCCTATAGTTGGCAACTGTAGAGAGATAGAGACAGAGGGCATTAGGTTGTGCGTTTGTGTGATGGTTAGGCGCCCAACGTAACACATCATTCTCCTGTCGATGTGGATCGATCAAACTTGAAATCGATCACATCCACAAGGGGGCACGTAGATTTAATGTATCCGGTAATGTTGTTGGGTTAGGAGCCAAGGAAAGCGGCCTTCACAAGAGATTGTCTAGCTGTGGTAGTCGTCCCAGTCCCACTTGTGCAGAAGATCTGTGTTAACTCGCACCCAACATGGCATTTTGGTCCATACCCAAGTGGGTCTCTGAATTGTTCCTTTCAAGTGGTAGTTAACAACATGGTGATCGATCTAATAGTATAGCCACACAAGGGCCCAGCTTTCAGCTCAGATTGCAGTGGCCAAAACCTCCCATGTGCACTTCAATTTTTTTTTTTTGATCTAATAGGCCAGACATTATCCTATTACTATAACATGTTTGGTCGCCATATACCTCTCTAGCTACTTGCTAATTTTCTTTTTTAGAAATTCTCGTAATGGGCTTCTGCTTCTTTGGGGCCTAGCTAGCTAGTGAGGGGGCTGAGAAATCCTTTTAATTAATATTAAAACGAAACAAACATTAATTATATTGCACATATTATGATTTAATTATTAGGAGCTAGCAATATATCTTGTCTATGTATAAATCAAATTAATTAATTAAATAGAGCGGGGAGGGGGACCCATAGTCCAACAAGTAGTGTTGGCGTGTTGCCTTTGCTTAAGCCATGTAGCACACACAATTGGCTTACTCTGGCCAACCTTTTGGTGAATATATATATGATCCACACCCCATTTTAACAGGACGTAGAGCGATTGGGTGCAAACTATTGACTTCCTTCGTCTCTTTACATGTTTGTATATTTGATTGTTTCTTTCTTTGTGTGTATGACAAAGAGAGAGATTGATCAGTCCAATTTTTGGTCATTTATTTAAAATTTTCGAATAACAAACGACCCATGCATATATAAGTTTA